TCTCCTTTTCCAAATGTTGTGGTTTGATGTTGAAAAGCAGGGAGACCAATTAAGATCCATTCCCCTGCTAATATATCGGAGATGGCAATTATTAACCTAAGAACATGAATGTGACTGAACCAGTCTGTTCCTACAGCCATAAGCTTCACACTGTATACCCTTAGTGCTATTGTAATTCCAGAAAATATCAATATAGAATAAAAAGGTAAATGTATAAAATGTAAAAATTAAATGTGCTAGCACAGTGTTTCATGTGGAGGTGATATGGAATATCTCTAGGAGGTGAAAAATAGAATCTGAATGAATTACTTTTAAATGCATACCAAGAAGCTCTCTGTATTGTTGCATTTTTTAATTAGATGAAAATAAATGAATTGAAAAGATGAAAGGAACTTGTGTAACATCTCACTTCAAAGGGCAGCTCCACTGCTGAGGAGTGTTTAAAAAAAAAAAGGAAAAAGAAAAGAAAAGCAGCTTATTCCAGAAATATGCTCTCTTGGTGGATTTGGTTTCACTTTTACTTGCTTTAGAAACTTAGGAATGACTTCTGCTCATTTAACCTAAATGGAGTCATTACCCCGGTGTAAAGGAGAGTTGGAAGCTGGCTGACAGTGATGTTCTGTTCCACGCTCCTTCATTGCACTTTGCACTGACTCAGCAGTGCTCTCAAATGAGCAGAATTATTTTTGACCTTGTTATGGGATTTTTATCAAAGTTTCAAAGCTCCGAGCTGTGTTCTGGATGGAAATTGCACGTGTGCATTAGCTCTTTGTCTGGATTTACTTTGTCTGCACAAATGAATTGAAAAATACCAGCTGAACCTCTCAGCTGCTTGCTTAGCTAGTTAGCCTTCCCAGAATCCAGAGGGAAGTGCTCCCACCTACGACACTTAAAAGCTGTGCTTTGTATACTTCCAATACACAGAATAGGTCATGTTATGCAAGATATCTCAGCACCTCAGCGTTGATTTTAGGACCCTTTTGTATTCCTGACTTAAGTCAGTGTGCTGTCCAACTCCGGAGTTATATTTGCATCTTCCACCAAATTTTACTCGTAAGTCTTCTCTTTAAACATCAGGTTTTTTTTTTTAACCTTTAAGCACTTTATTTCAAATAACAGCTGTCCAGGTCATGACTCCTGTCATCATATTTATCTGAAGCTGACAGGCTAATGAGAGGACAAATTCAAACTGGCCAAGTTGTCACAGTTTCCTTCCTTGTTTTAGTTGCCCTGAAGTGTGGGATGGTGGCTTTAGAGAATAACATTTCTAATGCAGAAGCCTAACAGAAGATGTCACAACAACCAATTGAACAAGGATTCAAAGGAAGATTAGCCTATCTCTATCACTAGGAAAATCCTCAAGATGGGACCTCTCTCTGTAAGCAATAGTTTTCTCTCGTGACTCAGAAAAAATGGCTGCTTCCAGAACCAGAGGTCTTGTGTAACTTGGAAAAGAAGAGCAGCTCATCAGCTTCATAGCTCCTTGATAGAACTAGGCAGGCTGCTGTGGTTTTTATTATGCCACAAGCTGTTTAACCAGTTTGTCACATAGCAGGTTGGTGTCAAATGTTATCAGCTTTTCACAAACACAGTCAGCTACACAATTGATCTCATCCCAAATGTGATTAAGTGGGATCAATTATAATAAGAACTAAATAAGAGAGGTAGGCTTGTAGTTTATTGGGTTGATATTCTGCAGTGTTAGCCTTTGTAAGTATCCCTTATATATGATCAGCTGCAGAACCTTTATTACTTCAGGAAATGGCTTCTGGACCAGCATTCAAATGAACTTCATCCTAAACTGGTTATTCTAGCACTGGAACTGCTGTTGAATGAGGAAAGAATTTATGTGAAGCATCAGTTGCATCAAACAGAAAAGTAGCCTTCTGAACACAATGTTTTGCAATGTGAGGAACATTTGCTCTCAATCCTAAGTACAGTTAAATATCCTGTGAAAGAGCTCTGTGACCTAAGAGGGGAGTAGCTACCCTTCATAACATGATGTTTTGCTGTGGTAGTAAGTATAATTGCTATAACACTTAAGGCTTAATTTGATAAATATCAGAATTTATAGATTTTCTAAATACAGAATATAGAGATGATTCCTCTAGATTTCTCTGAGAATAATGCAAAATTATCCATTCAATAGCTGGAAGCAGGGGGATGAAAGCATTACATAAAATCGCACATCAGGGGTTCAGTCAATCTGAAGAATATATGTGAGAGTCAAGTGCACTGAAAGTAGTGTAAACATACATGTTATAAGAATAATGAAATATTAGTTCTTTCTTTATCAGAAAAGAAAAGCTGGTAATGTAGAAATGGAGAGGGCCATACGAACATACAAAACACAAGAGAGGAATTTTGCAAAATAGTCCATATCTAAATTGTAAAAAGGGAGACTTGCCTGTATCTTCGAGCAAATCTTTTTAGCATTATTTTCAGCTATTTTATGGCTTTTGGTTCTTGCAATGCAGCTCTTAGCAGGCAATATTTTTGTGATTCAGAAAGAATGAATAACTTGCGTCTGATAAAACAACACAGGATGTTTATACTGCCACAATGATTGTACTGTTCTGGAGCATAATATTTGACCAAAAACTCATTAACTGTGTTTGCTTTCTTTTTTCTAACCAAAAAGAGATTCCTAAGCTCTGGTGTATTTTTATGAAAATCTTGAAGATCTTAGACCAGTGATACATGCATCTCTTCTATTGCACATGGATGTGCTGCAGTTGTCTGCTGAGTTAATAATCACATCTAATGAACAGAAATCCAATTGTCATTTTACTTTTTGCTATAGGTAAGACACAGAGGCTTTTGTAGATCTAGGCTGATACCTTTGTTGGTCTTTCAGTTCTGATAATGATAAGGTTGTTGAGGGTTGTGCAGTCATTTTGATGGTCTCAGTGCCAGTGTCTCTGCTCTGGTCTTTTGTTCCCAGTGTTTTATTTTGTTTGTAGGCCATTTCCAGTAACTGAGCAGGGCAGATCACTTTGCCCTCACTGATCTGTTCTGTAATCTCTCCTTGGCAGCCATGTGGGATTGCTGCAGCCAGTGGAAATTTTTCATGTTTTTCTGCATTTAATTCCAAAAGCACTGTTAGCCTCTGCCTTATCTCTTCTACCTCCTCCCGCAATTTTTCTGGCTTTTTGGATAGAGTATTGGTTCCCTCACATACTAGTCCACAAGTATCTGTGAAAATATTCTTGCTGTTAGGTTTCTTTCACATCAGAAGTGGCCATTTAAAATGTAATTGCTGACAACCAGCAAGGCTTCTTCCCTGACTTTCAGGAGCAATAGAATTTGCTAATAATTATTGCTAGGCTAGACTTAGAAATTCTTAAGAAGGATTCTTTTGCCTATGTTTTGTTGAAATATGCAAGCATATGTCTTCTTTTGGGCCATTCATCCTTGTAACAGTTGATCACCTTTCTCTTATCTCTGAGTTTATAATTATTTGCTGCCTGTATTCATCTTACTTCATTCCAGATGAACATAGTACCAATTGTACACAATACTCCTGCATTATTATTTTGTGCAGAACTTTACTAAATATTTGTTTAAGCTTTTTATGTTCTTTACCTGACAGTGTCACTTGCAGTGTTTAAATTATTTGATAACTATAGAAAAATTAAATAGAAAATAAGTAAGAAAAATCACTGTTGAAGTGAAAGCTATTATGCTCTTCTATTGAGGTTTATTTCATTACAGAAAAAGCATTTGAAGCTTGTAATTTTTAACCTTCGAGCCTTTTCACAATATATATTTAATTGTGGCACCAAAGCTTTTTACATGCATTATGAAAAATGATACATACAGAAAAACAAAGTAATCGCCTGTTTTCTTGTTTGTTATGTGTGCATGTAAAGTCTTTCTGCCCAAGAGCACCTTTGTTGTGCTCCATATCCTCCAGTAATTTTTCAATGTGAATATCATCAGCCTTTTCTGAGACAGATTCAAGGAACAGCAGGTTCCTGGGAAGGTCTCATCCTCATAGTCAGAATTCAGTTTTAGACTTCACCCATGAGAATTGGGGTTGTTGCTGGTGGATTAATTTCCAGCATTAACTGTTACGGCTTTGCAGATAGCTCCCTCTTTTTGAGAGACTTGCTGTGACCCCAGGTTCTGCCTTAGATGGTAATGAAATCTGAACAATTTTTATTTCATCAGTTGTCAGCATTATTCTGCATTCCCCTTTTTGGTGAAGCAAACTGAATGGCTAATCCATAAAGCTCCTTGTGGACTGTGTTGCATACAAAGACTTAACAAATATTTTGATGCCTGATATGGTGTCTCTTCTGCCCCTTGAAATCCTCTTGGGTACTACTTCCTGAATAAATGCCCACCTCAGAGCTACACCTTCTCCTTTTGAACTGTGGCTGCAGTAAGTTATCAAATCTGTTTTCATTTGGTGTTTTCTTTAAAAAAAGTTGGTATGGGATGCACCCTTGTATAGCACTTTTGTTATACATCAGTTACTAATTTCTGGGAGGAGCATGTGGAGGGAGATTTGTTGGTGATCTTCCACTTTGTTCCAGGTAAGGAAGGTCTCTTCTTCCTTTCTAACTCAACTGTCCTAGATAGGACAGTTATAGGACAGATAGTCCTCTGACTTCAGAGTGGGGCATACACAAGGTCTCCATCTGTCTCCTCACCTATTCCTGACATGGTCTGAAGTTGTTAGAAAACAACTTAGGACCTTATGACGTAAGACATAACTGTTACCCATTACTCTAGAAATCCAAACCCCAGCAGTAGCCCACACAGGGGTAAAATCACTTTCTGTGTGCAAGCAACTGTTCATGTGATCCTCTAGCTTTGAAGAGTATTTTTTTTGCTTCACAGGACACTGCAAGGCTGGAAGATTGATCCCTAAGGGAAGAGTTCCCACTCTGTGAGTTAGATTTGCTGAGTATAAAATAATAACTCTCAAAATAGATTAAAATGAATTTTAGCTGCATGATTTGTTTACTGTGCTCATTTGTTCCATTCTTTAGGTTTGAAGACGGCACAGTCTCTTTTCTTGATATCATTGCTTTGAAACATGGATTTGATGTTCTGGAAAAACTCACAGGTCAGTTAACATAACTCTAACACTGAAGAGTGAAGTTCCAGATTTAGACTCAGGGCACAAGTCTGTTCGTATTTCCTATGGCTGTAGCTTAACTGTTTTTTCTAGATACATTATCCATGTTCATCAGTGTGAAGATCAGACTTAAGTGCTTACTTAGATCTTGGGTATTGTGTTATTTGAGCCTGGTTTGGAAAAAAACAGAACACGCACACTGTTCTCCACATACACAAATGCAAGGCTTGAGGACATTGAGCACATCTAGTCTGCCTCACACTCACAAAAATGCAACAAGAAAGTAGCTGAGGTGCATCTTATTGAGACTTGATGCAGTAAGAGTTCCTGCTGTGTGTGTGGACGAAGCAACTTGAGGAATCAAAAAAGAGAGTTTAGAGTACATCCCAAAGCTTTTTATTAAGTAGGAAATATAGTCCCACTGTCCTGGTAGCTATCTTCAAACATTGAGCTTTTCAGACTGCAGCTTTTCACAGCAGTTAAGTTATGTCTGTACTTTGACACATGTTAGTGGAAAGCAGCATTATGTTGCCAGGTTTGTTGTTTTGGGTTTTTTTTTCTCATTTTGTTCTCTATTTGATATAACTTAGCACTGTAAGTCTTCAGGAAATTGTCAGAAAAGCACATTGTTGTGAAATTGTGGTGAAGTTCCTGCCTCTCAGGGTGCAAAGTGAAAGGGAAATTCTGACTGGGCATAAAGTAATCATTTTTTAGGATGAGGGTAGTGCTCAGAGAGGCTGGAGCAAGTGCTCAGAGAGGCTATCAAATCTCCATCCTTACAGATGTTCAGAATCTGACTGGGTTTGGCCCTGAACAATCTGATCTAGCTTTAAAGATAACCCTGGTTTGAGCTGCATGACCTCAAAAAGTCAAACCTAAATTTGTCTATGATTTTGTAACTACCAAAGACTAATGCCTCCTTCCATTCTGAGGTTGCTATAAGGCAGGCTGGGGCATATTGAGCTGTGAAGAGTGGAAGACAGACCTTTCTGCTTAGGTTACATTCTTACTGCTTAGGACACATTCAATCTGTGGCTATGTGCTGAACTAAGCACATTTGAGATTTATAAACAAGCTCATAGCCTGCCATCTTGATCTGGCCTTGGTTTATGGAATGGAAATTCTTCAGTCACACTAACTTTGGGAAGCTAGTGCCAACCTGGCAAAGATCTCTTCGCAGTGGACTTTCCTGGGAAGATTGTTTCCATGACATATCTACTGTGACTTCATCTCCCCAGGCAAAAGGCAGGTGGCCTGGGATAACAGGCCAGTGCAGGCTTTCTAGCTTGCTAGGGAGTCTCATGGCTTTGAAGCTCTTTTCAGTGACTCCCACTGTTTGAGTATCTTTGAAGCCCTTAATATGTATGTAATGCTGAAGTCCCAAATGAACCTTTGAGCTGATCTTGATGCCAGCAGCTGTATCTGAAAGGCGATGCTCCTGTGCCTTGTTGATTTCAGGGTAGACTGCTGCTTGGCTGGCTCAGGATGCCAAATGCAGAGTCTCTCTGGGAATGCTGCCATGGGGCTGTGATTCTCCTGAAAGATGCAGATGACTCCAGGCTAGGGAAGCTTGCACCACTGGCTGTGCAGGGGGCTGGCACCATGATGTGCTTCCATATGTGCAGTGTGCCAGCTTAACAAAACATGTTCCTAAAATATGTGTTTCATACTCAGGTATGTGCACAGTTAATGTGTAATGTCTGAACCACCTTTCTCTGGTGCACTCCTGTATAAAGGCATAAAGTGCATCATGATGTAGAAGACACCTGAGTCCAGAGAAACACTATGTACTTTTCAGGCTGGTATAATTTCTGCTAGTGTCTGTGGAGGTTTATTGTCAGGATTTATCTGAAGGATTCTAGTATGTTCTTCCTTGTAGGGCAAGACTTCTGTGAGGAGTGTTCTGTTGAGATGCTTGAGGTCTTGCTCCTGTGGAAATCAATAGTAGTTTTCATCCACTTCAACAGGAGTCTGGCTGAGCCCCAACAAGGACGATATTTTGCTTTATGATGCTTTGTGTAGAGACCAGGGATTAGAAACCATCCTTTAGTATATATTCTGAGGAAAGTGTAGTCTTAAATAAACATGTTCCCTTGTGAAGAGGGCTACCTGCTTTGGTTCTATGTGTAGCAGCATTGCCTGCCATAACGGGAACGTTGATAATAGCATCTCTTCCATTGCGTTGCCCATCTGCCTAAACCTTCTGTTGGTACCTATTTCAGCTAAACAATTGAAAAATCTCTGCATCCTAGAATGAGGGGAGTACTTATCCTTGAACTCAAATAAAGTGGATAGCAGTGGATGAAAGTGTAGAACAGAGGCATGAAAAATAGCATGTTGAGACCTTTAAGTCTTTATTACTGCTTTTAATTTGCCTTCTGACGTGTAGCAGTGATGAAAATCTAAGGCAGCTGAAGTAGCTTAGAATAACCTGTCAGAGGCATTGTCCACAAAATTGTTATGTGGGTGGGCTTTAATTCTGGGCTTGATTCATTTATTCCTTATGGGTGGTTGGTTGGAGATTTTTTTTTTAAACTAGCTTGAAGCAATAACTTTCTGTCTTCAGTATTGATTAAGTTTTTTTTATTTCTTTAACAATCATCAATACACAGGCCTAACGGGTTCATATAGCAAAGCATATGCATTTATACTACTCTGAAAAGTATATGGTGAATTGTTATGTTTACTCATTATTAAAAAATGCAATTGACTGTATCAGCTCCATACCAGTATGGTTGAATAAAATAACTGCAAGGCTTTTTATGGCACTGTTTACCACACTGAAAAGAGCTATGGACTGCTGTCTTCTGGGTGCTAGAACACTTCTGTAGATGTGGTGAGAAGTTTAGTAAGTTTATCAAAGCAATTATGTCTGTTGTCTTATGTATAACAACATGTCTTAGATTAGAAGAGACATTTTTCTAAATTTTGCAGAGTATTTTGATTAGTGTATTTTAGCTACTGTAATAAACTTTACTTTTCCTGGTGTTCCTTTATTGCACAGCTTGGATTTCCCTAGAAAGCAAGCTTTTTTAAAGCTGAAAGTTGCTATGTAAAAAAACATGTAAATTTCATGTTTTCAGATTTAGAATCCTTTCAAAAAAGGAAAAAAATATAGAAATATTTCATTTTTCAGTTTTAAAATTTATTTTTTCCAAAATGCTGAAATATAGAAAGGTAGAGACAGATGAGAAAAATATACAACCTGAAAGAGTAAGTGAGAAGAAACCTTTATTGAGGAGAAATTTGAAAAATAAAAAAAATAATAATAATTGTTTTGTAAAATATTTCAATTTCAGAACAACTGCACTGCTAACCTTAACCTTTAGCTGGTATGCATTTTTATTAGCAAATTTTTATCAGTTTTACAAAGTATACTAAGGTACATAACTTATGAGTATATTAGAAGGGTTGTTTCTATGAAGTCTGTTCAGGAAATACTAATTCTCTTCACAAGAAAATATAATATGTATTAGAAGAAAAGTTAAGACCTGGAGTAACTCTCCTAAGACTAATGAATTAAAAGTCCTTTTTAAATTAACTGGATGCTTCACTGGTTTTTGAAGAATAAAGGTTGTGCTGGTTTTCATAACGGCAATTATACCACACAACAACCAAAGTGAAATACAGTGGCAGAGGCAAAACGATGAGGCTAACTTTGATTTTTAACTTGTCTTTGGGACTTTTAAGTTGTGTTTTACCCTATTATAATTTTTACCATCCTCTGTTACGTCAAGGACTGGTTGCAGCCAGTGATGGGACGTTGAGCAAGCTGAGTTTAGTGGTACTGCACAGATTCTCATGTATGTTATGCAAGTCATACAGTTTAAGGCCAGAAAAGAATTTTCTTCTCAGTCAGATTGGCAGGGATTACTGGGATTTCTTCTCCTGTGTGGAGTTTTTGACTGTATCCTGCCATCGTCAGGGCATGTCACATAAATTTGAATCATGCTTTTGATGCTGTGAAATGTACTGCTTCCATCCTTGCGGCTGCTTTCATTCATAATTTTAATGGATTTGGAATTTTCTTTTAAAAGTCAGAAGATTAAAGATGCTGTTAATAAATGGGTTCTGGCTTGAGATACATAGGTGTGTTGGAAGTGGATCCATTCTGGCTGACTTTTATGAAGTTCTTCATTTTAGGGAGAAAGTCTTCCCTTCGTTTAAGAGAGAAGGAATCATTGATGAAATTTTTACTTTCTTTTGGACAAATGTTTTCAATAAGATGATTTTTAGCATAAAAGAAACCTGGACAATTTATACTAATCTTACCTCCCTGCTTATAATCAACATTTTCTCTAACTGTACTTGTCAGAGAGGTAGGGGTTGTTGGGGTTGTTTTTCTCAGAAAAAATATTTGACGAGTTGATAGTAGGGAGAAGATTCTCTATCCATGCTCTAGATACAAAAATATGGATACACTGAAGAGAGGGCATTTAAATTCTGGCATCAGAAACAAAAGGTTGACTTTTAAATGTGAAGGAAATACTTAAAAGCTTAAAATCCAAAGGTATTCTGATTCCTAGATAATGACACTTCTTGTATGTCTATAGGCAAAAATCTATCCTCTCCTTTCATGGATAGTGAGGTGACTGTTTCTATTTATAAATTTCTGTCCCAAGATAAACTTAGTTTAGAGGACAAACTAGAAAAAAAGTTACTTATTTCTTGCTGCTAGCACATTACATCAGTCCAGGTTTTCTCAGCTTTCTTTTGTGACTTAACTAATGCAAAATAGACATCATTTGTACCACTGAAAGAAGAGAAGAACAGCTAGAGCATGATTTGAAGAGCTTTGAAAAAGTGATTTGCTGGAAGAAATCCTTCCAGGGTTGCCTTTGCATACTTTAATATCTAGAAATAAAAACCGCTTTCCTGTTTGGGTTTTTTTTAAAATGCATTTTCTAATATTAATGTGGATTTCATTCACAAACTTCATAATCTCCAAAGAGGGCTAAAAAATGACCAAAAATGTCAGAGTCATTCCT